CTCAATTCGGATTCCTCAGGATTTTTATCCTGAGGGAAAAAACTTGCCAGAGTGTTGTGGCAACTTTGAGACCAACAAGTTTCATTTACACGTTTCTCTGAACTGTAGCCTACTTCTTTGCATGTATGAGCAATGAATGTATTTTGGAGTGGTGCAAATGCTACGCCACAGCAATGCTATATGTTGTAGAACACAGAAGCACCACCCACTTAGCTGCATTTTGCTATCTTCTATAAGTGACACCTTAGGGATTCTTCTGAGCCAGAAGGTGAGGTAAAAATCACATTGATCAATAGAAGTAATGAGGACATTTTTTCCAAAGCAGCAGCAATTTGTGCTTGTCTATTTATTCCTCCCTTTATTACTTCATACGAAACATGAAGTACGTGCTCAGCAATTTGCAAGCTTCTTTTTTGGGGGGTGGGGGCAATATTCTTATTATGGAAAATATGTACTGTATCACATATCAGAGAACTATACTGGGAAGGTCTCTGTTATTTCAGAAGCTATGATTTTTCATCAAGGACAAGAAGGGCTCCATCTGGAGCTAATCAAGATAATCTCCCCCATTACCACCATAATGGCCATGAGAGAGAGAGAGAGAGAGAGAGAGAGAGAGAGAGAGAGAGAGAGAGAGAAGCAGCTAAGCTCTTAAAAACCAATAGACACATTCTGGACACCAAATACAGTTAACTTAAGCTCAGCAAAAGCAGTGCAATACAAAGTATACAAACACATCATCAATGGTGGTGATGCCAGGTGGAAGGTCACTGATGAAAGCTTTGCTTGCATTGGATCGGATGCCTGATGACAAATTGCTATTTGTGATTGACTAGCTAGCTGCTGATGCTGAAACAGCTGGTGTCCTTGGGGAAAGGAAGCTGTATGATACCACATGGGAAACACAGCTGAAGCATGAGGCTAAGGAGGAAGCTTGAAGGGCTCAAGGCGATCTTCATTAGTAACTATGTTCTCCCAAACTGTACGAGTATTTGCAGAAGAGAAACTCTAACAGATGAAAGGGAGATAACATTGAGAACCTGCTACAGTAAACTGCCCAAAGTCTATACAGTATTTTCAGAAACAAAGACTTCATGCCAGGAAACAAAGGCAGTGCCATAGAACCGGGCAAAGTCTGTATCTTCTCTACTGTGGTGCAGAAGAGTAAGCACAGAGAATGAAGTTTAGTTAAGTCTCCTCTACTACGGTTTTCTCAAGATCCCTTGGAAACTGTTCTCAGTCCTTGGAGATTCTGAACTGTCCAACACAATTCTGACATATGCAACTGATCAAAGGATATCCAACACCACGCTGTTCAGATATTATGAAAACATACTTATTTGGCTAATTTTGCTCTGTTTCCTAAGTATCTTGAAGAAAGGTAGAAAGAACCTAGAGTTGGTACAGAGAAGAAGGAATCGAGTGTAAAGTTTACAGAAGTGAGGTTCAATATGGTAGCTCCTTACCCTACATTTATCTCTGTATTTTTACAGGAATGAAAAAAAAAAAAAGATCGGCAACTCAAAATGAGTAGATAAACCTCAAATCCACATTTTTAAAATAAACGTACCATTTATTTTAAAAACAGGACTGGAGGATTACTGCCTGTTTGGCTAATGTAAGCATATAGATAAAACAAGAAAACCTTTCCCGAAATTTCAGTGAGATGGAGAGTTACTCGGACCCTTCCTACAGTGGAACTGGAGACAGGGAAAATGCGGGCAGCACTGATAGTCTGGACCATATGATCATCATAGCCCAAGACAACGGGGGGCATTAGTGCTGCCTGTCAGCTAGAGCTTGGGAGGTGAAACTGAAGAGTGGCCTCAAGGCATGGGATTTTTGGATTTTCTTGGGTTACAAGTGCCATAATTCTCCATTCTGGGAGTTTTACCTGACAGACTCTCACCTACAAACCCCTAAATGTGGCTCACTTGGAGAAAGGGTCTTACTAGGAAGGTTTCAAGGCCTAGCTTTGCCCTAATTTCCTATGCAGAAAAGAAGCTGGCCCCATTGCTAGCAGGGAGCTTCATTTCTGAACCTGGGAGCACTTGCCTTCCCTGCTACTCCATGTTCTTCCAACCATCTTCTGGTTATGCAAATAAGCGTAACATATGTTTCCCAAAAGCATGCCTCCTCTCTTTCCATCTCCATTGGGACATCTTTGGCAATTCTTGTATGTTGTCCTTCATCTCTTAAAGAGATAAAGAAAGGAGCTGATTGGCATGAAGGGCAAGGAATTTAGGGTCAGAGAAGTGAGATTCAATGTCAGGTCTTTTTACTCCACATTTGTACTCAACATTCAAGCAAGAAACTAAACAATCAGCAACTCAGAACAAGCGTAAAAATGGATAAATCTCAAGTGGACACATTCTAAATAAACATGTTTAAAGAAAGAATAGCAGACAATTACTCTGTTAAAGACAGAGCCGGAAGATTACTGCTTGTTTGGCTGAGGTAAGCAGATGAGCTCAACCCTTGATGGATAAGGCAAGACTACCTTTGCCAGAGATTTCAGTGAGATGGAGAGTTATCTCGGGTTGTCACACAAAGATTTAAGTTTCTGTTTGGCAGTAGCTTGTGGGGTTTTGCAATCAATCCTGCAAGGTGAGCACTCTGCCCCCCATCTAACAAAGCGCCGACTTTATTTTAATCACCACACCTAGATCATGAATGTCAGTGGAATGACTCGTGTGCCTGAATTTAAGCACGGGCTTAAGTGCTTTGCTGGACCAAGGCCAGAGAGCTCAGCGCTTTCATTGACCGAGGTCCTGACAACTCGGTCTGAAATATGGTGAATGTTTCCAAGGGATTAGAATTCTGAAGGGAGAAAGCAAAAGTAACAAAGAATGAAAACGTGTCTCATTTTAGCTGAAACTTTAAGTTGAACCACAAAATTATTCTCTTGCACAAATGTTTATGGAGGGGGAATGTGATGAACAGATTATGCTTGATTGTTGCCTTCTGCACCAGACATGCTCAAACCCTGCCCCAAACCTACCCAGCTGAGTATCCTATTTGTATGAGTCCTCTCACTGCAAAGCTGTAGGCCCAAACCACATAACTTTTATACTCTAACTCTATGGTGTTCAAAATGTACTCTCCAGAATGACATGTACTGGCCTTTACAAGTAAACATGGCATCCAACATGTGGACATTCTGTGTGGTGGTGGAGGGACATATATGTCCTTAGGCAAACAATCACCTTATTATGCAAAGTCATTCAACATCACAGAAAGCAAGACCTTTAAAAATGTTTAAAGGTGTTTAAAGGAAATGTTTAAAGGAATGTGTTTAAAGGAAATGTACAGTTAAATTCTGGGGCTTCAATCATTTAAATTCAATCCAATTTCCGTTATAATAGCCATTCTGTTTTGCTCAGATGACTCAGAATAGGATATTCAAAGATCAGGACTCTTTGTGATTCACATAAAAAGTAGAGTTCACTTTCAGAAAGTCAGACTCTCTTGACTTCTGAAGTTTTGCTACAGTCGCCTGGTTCATTCTGTACTTTCATTTGAAATATTGTTTAGCAATATTTCCTTTCCCCCTCGAAACTGCAAATAAAGATGGAATTTGTGTGGAGTGGGTGGGTGTTCAACTACAAATCTCATTATTCTCCATTCTGAAAGTACTATCTAACAGCCAGACACATAAATGTGGATCACTCTGGAGAAAGGCCTAAACTGAAAGGCTTTGAGGCTTAGCTAGGACTGGGATATCAGAGAACTATGAAATTTGTTGTCTTAAAAATATCATTCCTAGAGAAAATCCATGTGGTGATCTGTCATGGAAGAACTTCACTGAAGAAAATAACAGTGGTTATCTAGATTTCATTGCTGGTTGTGAATGGCCTCCCATAGCGGTTCAAGTTTCAAGGTCCCAAAAATGTAGGTCTACCACTGTTGTTGGTCAATGTATTCTAGTAAGTATACAATGTGTGTTTATAACCTGAATATTTTACAAGGTGCATCTACATGAGAGAAAATTTAGCCGCCTAGAGTGCTTGTTCTGAGCAGATAGGCGCTACATGAGAAAAAAAATTAGTATATGTCTTCTTATAGCAAAGAAAAGGCAACAGGTGAACTAAGCGCTGTGACTGGCTGTCAAGCTGCATCCAACTTATAGAGACCATAATAAGGCTTTTAAGGTATATGGGATACTTAGGTTGTAGTTTTATATGTGCCACCCCCCCAGTGACTTGCTGTGGCTGACTGGAGATTTGAACCTAGGTCTTTTGTGTCCTCTGTCACACTATCTCCTACACCACATTGGCTTTCTAAAGGATCCTGTGTTTACCAAAATAGGGGTTTTTTTTTCTTACTTTCTAACAAAGAAAGTGCACAGGCAGTGAGACTAAGACTGGACATCATCCCAGTACAACCATGTAATTACTGATGGCAAAATATCTGTGTGATCACTCCTTCAACTGATGTAATTGTCACTGTTTTTTCCTATTCTTACTTGGCTTTGCACCATGTGCTTTATGTATATAAACCTGTGGCCTAACTATTATGTTCTGTGTGTCTAAGGAAGTGGATTGTAATCCATAAAAGCTCACACTGAAACAAATCTTTCTGTAAAGTGGTTGGAACTCCATGCGCAAGGGGTGGAGCCTCAGCACACAGCTCTGGAGAATTAGAGGGAATGTTGGTTAACAAGAAACATAATGAAACAGTAGAACTTACTTCCAGGTGTGTATATATGAAGAATTATTAAATCATAGCATAATTGAGTTGGAAGGGGCCTATAAGGCCATTGCATCCAATCTCCTGCTTAATATTGTTATGCTGTTAAGTATCTAAGATTCCTCTGCTCTAAAGAATGCAAAAGTGTTACAGATGCCAGTTTGGTGAAAAATCATCTAAATGGGTTCATTTCGTGTTTGAATCTTTACTCATTTTAACTATATTTATTTCCATCTCATATGAAACACCTGCACTTTATCCTACCCCAGCCGATCAACCAATACAAAGTGGCTTTCAAGAAATGGTCTTACATTTTTCCAGTGCATCCATTGCAGCGCACATCTCTGCTTGTTGAATGCTGTAAAACAAAACAAAGAAAAAGAAATCATGGTATATATATATATATATTAATGGAGTAAAATTGCTCTCCAAAAGTCTGCTTTGCTGACACTAATTCTTCAACTGCTCATGGGGCTGTTGTCCCCCCCTCCAAAAAAGCATCTTCCATCAAGTTGCTTTAAAACTTAGATCAATATACTGTTAAAATACTCTCCACTGATAATTCTTTAGTGAATTATTTTAATGAAAAGACAGCAAATCCTACTGTTCTGGAAAATGGATGGCAATATGATAGCTTCCCTCTAATATTTTATTAGGAATTATTTGTATCTTACTCTTCAAAACATCATGGGCAATGCAGAAAGGTGATCAGTGAGGAATGAGAAATCCTTTTAGATATTATTTATCATATAGCTGGCACTTTGAGTGTATAGAATTCTTTATAATGCTTTTTTCATTCACCTTTGCCAAAAATCTATAAAGTAGTAGGTATTTTCCCCCTTAAATGGAAACGGAGACATTTTTAGATGAGAAATATTCCAGTAGCACCTAGAGAGAAGACTGCATTCTTGCTACTTAATACCCTTTGTTAGGAACCACCTGTTGAAGAACTCACTGTTTCAAAGAAACTTTGGTCAAAGCAAAGACATGCAGTTTGCAGTGTCTGACAAAGGAAGACATTGGACAAAATCCTGTTGCTTAATTTAGCAAATCACACTAGATCAGGCCAACTGAATCAAGGAGGATTATGTGAATCAGTCTCTCTAGTGAGCTGACTGGACTGAGCCTACTCAAGTTGTGGTTTACTGTTCTTAAGTAAATTACAGTTAGTGCAGTCCAATTTGAATCAATGGAACTTACAAAAGAGTTGACCCACCAAATCTCCATTGAGTCAATGGGTCTACTCTAGTGTGATTTTCTAGTCTAAGTAAGAGGATTTGGGCCAGTGATTTCCAGGTGGCCAGCATGAAAAAAACCAAACGCTGCCAAAGGGGAAGTGCTTCCTTCTTGTACAGTGGAAAGAAATTCTCCCAGGAACAGCAGCACAATAGAAGGAGCTATGCAGGCTTTGAACCCCATGAACCACAGTGGTTTTGGAATGGTTCCAAGGTAGGGGACTGAAAGGAATGAATGAAAAGCAGGAGCCTCCCAGCATAGCAAGATGCAGATTTTTCTCAAGGGTTATCAGACCCTCCTCCCTCTGGTGTTAAGCTAGGAAGAATAAACAACCAGGGACTCGGATCATTAGATGTATTGGAGGTAAATTCTGATGAACATATTTGAATTCAGTTTGCACCATTCCTTCCCAACATGTTTGCTTGCGTGGGAAGAAAAAAATGACATTATCAGTTCCTGCACCTTGTGAGACTCTTAGGAATAAAAACTTAGAAGCAAAAACTGAGTCCAGAGTTTAGGGACTGCAAACACTCCAAATTCTGACATCTTGCATGCCAAAATGATGGCCAACTAGGAAAAAAGACTTTCAAAGAAATAAAAGTGGTGGTGGTGGGGATGTAAAGGTGCAATAACTCAAGAGGAGATTAGCCAGGTTCTCAAGCATTTTGGGTAAGTCTCAGCTGGAGTATATGTGAACTATAGATGGCTTCAGGCAAGTTGTGGCTTTCACGTGGAGTCTGATATCGGAATAGGCTTTCATAGAGCTTCTAGCAAAACTGAAGTGACCAACAACCCCCGCCCCTGATACTTGCCTTTCCACAGTACTGTGAAGGCTGGACCTCAAACCTTGCTTTCACTGCATCTATTGCTTTCTTTGTGCAATCCCTGACAAAGGGACTTTAAGCAGCTTCACAGATTAAATCTACAGAAGTTCTGCAAGAACCCAGGATGATATATATGACCTTCTCTTCACAGAGCTTACCCTCCACCTTCAACTAGTTATTAGCCAGCAGGTCTGCAACGGAAGTGAATGTTGAACTGGGTGCAGAGAACTGCCTAGCCAAAGAGTTTCTTGATGCTGGAAGGGTCTGAAGCAATTCTATTGCCAGCACCCCCAAATCAGAGTAGCAGAACCTCCTTGGCCAGATAGGGGCTGCTAAAAATACCTGGGCTTCCACCATTCAAGCTCTGCAGAACAGTTTTGCTGTTCCAAGGGGGAAAAAAGCAAAGAGTTAACCACATAACTGAAAAGTGAACTGACAGTACACTGTAAAAGGGAAGTTCCTTTATAAACTGCACAGAGTTTTAGACAATAACCTTCCTAAATTTATAATCAAGAGACTGTGGAGAAAATCCCTCTACCACACTGCAGCTTTTGAACCCTGCTTCATAACAAGAATGGCCTGCTATGATCTCTGTGCTTAAACGGTTGCCTCAAGAAACACAAGGAACTCGAAATAGGCCTGGGAAGCATTTTCTCCCCCCCTTTCTTTTCAGGGGGAAAGAGTAAAAAAAAAACACTGCTTGCCCCTTTTGCTTTTGCAGATACTCCATTTGGAGATTCTTTGAAGGTGTTATAGTAGTATAACACCTTCAAAGAATCTCCAAATGGAGTATCTGCAAAAGCAAAATGTAAAAACAAATCACTCCGTTTGCAAGCTACACATTCAGTTGACGGTATCTGCTGCCAGAATGCAGACAGAAAAATGTAGAGGGAATTGCCACAGGCAGACATCTTAGCTAACTTGCCTCAACTTTACAGAGACCTAATGTCTCCTGCATGTCACTTCCTGTGAGTTTCCTAAGCCAAAGACTTGAAATCCCAGCAAAAGGAAAAATAAGCATGCCACCTTAATGGCTAAGACTGAGGGGCTCAGCTGGATCTACATGTTGGGACCAGAATATCAGGGGCCAGAGCAGCTACTGGACCAGCCACTAAGAGACACATTTCTGCTCCTCATAAGAGGCAGCATTTATTTATTTTTAAACAAACACCACAGAGCTGAGCTAACAAGAGTCCACTGCTGTTGCTACTAGAAACACTCCCACAGCCTCTCAGGGTCGAGAGACAAAGACAGCCCCCTAAGCAGAGCTTCACCTCCTGTTTTAGTGACTTTCGAATTAAAAAGGTGGGAAAGAATTTGGCTAAGAGGGATTTCCTAGTCCTGACAGCTAGTGGGGCTTTCCTGGCGCATTCAAAACAAAAACAAAAACAATAAGAAACAAAAAGAAAGGAATCCTCTGAATCAAGCAGACATGTGGTGGAATTATATTCTGCAGCTTTTCACAACTATTAATGGCATGTTTGCTGAGCATGTTTGTGTAGACTTGAGGGGGGGGGAAAGGTTACTGAGTAGAAGGAAGTTTCAGTGTGACACACTTAAGACCACAATTATGATCTCCAGAGCACAAACAAGGGTGGACCCTTTCACCAAAATAAGCCACCTTATAGTTAAAGCCTCCACTGTCAGGACAAGATGCACCGTAAAAACAAAATAGCAGGATCAATAAAATCAGTACTGAAAGATGTAATTATAACACACAACAATAAAAACAGGATTTAAATGACTAATGGAGACAGCTGAAAAACCCGGCTCGGCGGCAGCTCGGAGGGAAGCCCGGCTGCTCCCTGGGCTCTCCCGCTTTCCCTGTCGGTTCGTCTTAGGGCGGCTAAGCCCTCCACAAAACCACTGCCTGCACAGGACGTCCCCGCTGCTTTTTCCCTGCCCTCTCCTTCCTTGAGGTTTCTCCCAGGGAGCCTGGAAAGCGCTGTAGCGCTCCTGCCTTTGTACAGCTGGCGCCGCCGGAGGGTTTTGTTCTGCTTTGAAAAACAGCGCGGAGAGTTGTGTGTTTGCGGCTGAGGGTGGAGGAAAGCGGGGGTTATGGTACGTCCTCCTCTGTCCTCTTTTTTAGTCTTTCTATGTCCTCCTTTTGGTACCCTTGTATCTGGCAACCCTAATTCTGAGAGGCAGGAGCAATGAGCAAAGGACCTCTTCGTAAGTTGTCAAGACGCCTTCTTTCCCAGCCATTGAGCTTGACCACTTGAAAAGTACACTTGAAGTTAACATCACTTGTGTGTATGTGTGTGTGTGTGTGTGTGTTATGCACATGGAGTTACTCTGTCTCATATTTTACAGTCTCTGCATCACTTTCCTGGACGCCCTTGATCCAGGAAGGTTAAAGTTGTATAGCAGTATTGCTCAGTTTCTTTAGCAGCCCCATCTAGAATGCCAACATCTCCATCTTAATCATACTTTAGTTCACAATAAATTTACCATACCTTGGTCCTTTACCACATCCTATTCTTTCCCCTTTGAAATAAACAGCTACAGTGTATGTCCTGGCATGAGAAGGTCCAACTGTTTGCAAAGTCCTAAATCATAAGAGAGAGAGAGAGAAAACAAATGCACTTTTGAAAATGGACTTTACAAAACATCTTAAAGAGAAATACTACCATGTTTAAAAAGAACATTGTAAGACTCTTGATGGACAGAGCTGTACAAATTATTTTAGAAGACAGTGCCAATCCATTCTGATTTAAAACCAAAGTATTTATGTATGCTTGGTGTAGAATTATATGCATTTATGCTTTTTTTTTACAAACTTGAATCTCTTGGACAGAAATATAAGGTACTATGAAAAATGCTGTCACTCTAAATGGCAAATCCTGCAAATTGCTCCATCGGTAATAGAAAGTTAAAGGATCTGTCACTAACTAGGCAGTTTTTCCCCCTTTTCACTGAGTTTGATATAAATCTGCAACCATTTTAAGATGAGACTCAATTCCATAGACTATTTTTTTGTACTTTTCCCTCATTTATATCACCAATCCATCTTCACTGTCATACTGGGAATTAGTTCAAGTATTATGATCAGCAACAAGATAGATTTTAAAAATATTTAATACCTGTAGGCTTCAATCCTATACTCACTTTTCTGAGACAAAATCCCACTCACTAGAGAGTAGGAGGAGAGGGGATTGCACTGCCAAGAATACAGCTGAACAGATAGCATATACCTCATAAAATGTAAGAGCACAATCCTATATGTGTCTATATTGCTGCTAGGTAAATGTACTGTATATAGAATGGCAGCCTAAAATAAGCAGAAAGCCCATCCCAAATAACATCAGTTGACATGAACACCTCCTTCGCCATAAGAGAGCCACAAGGAAATTAAAATTTGCTAACAGTTCCACGAAAAGAACATGTAACTAAACAACACTATACGTACAAAGAATTCATAACCACCTCTCTCTTCATCTATGCCAATTCCCATTAATTTACAATCAAGAATAGAGACCGGGACAAGATGATGGAGTGAAGATGTGGGACTACTATTGAATGCATTGATTCTCAATGGCTGGGGCCATACAAATAATTTAAATCATTCCCAAAAGCTTTTCCTGAGGGCTCATTTTTCTTTTTGCATGTACAAATGATCAGAGCCATATTCAGGAATCATAATTTGTATAAAATCACCAAACACACTGGAGCAGGACAAGACTTACTGGAAAAAAACCGTAACATTGGGAAGCGTTGAAGGCAACAGAAAGAGAGGAAGGTCAAATATGAATTTAAATCAATAAAGGCAGTCACAGCTTTGACTTTGCAAGAGCTGAGCAGGGCTGCTGGGGACAGAAACTTCTGGAGGCCACCAATTCACAGTTTGCCGTTAACTAGAATGGTCCTGTCAGCATGTAACAACAACAAATTCAGCTTGCCCCCTTCCAATCTTAATTTCCAACACCCTCCTACATGTAGAGGATGTTGTGTCCAAACAGAAAGAACTGTTATCCATGGAGGCTCTCTGAGTCAAGATCCTGGAAAACCAGGCTCTCGACTCATACAACGAGCCACCATGTGTAAGCGGATCTCTCCCTGCTCAGACCTGTTGCCACCCATGTGTACAAGGGCAATGAAACTGGAATGAAGGGGGCAGTTCTAGAGGACTCTCCTTGTATGTGTTTAGCTGAACTGCAATGCCTGTATAGGGCCTAGATAGCATTTACACTTATGGAAGAAGGTAAAGTACTAAACTTGGGGGCAATGTGGCAATGAAGACAAACCCTACTTTGCACACCAGCTCAATGAGGTGATCCTGGTGGCAGGATATATATGCTTAGGAGAGGGAGCTTTATCTTCCCATACACAAATTGTCATCTCTCTCCCACGCACACACAAATACAGCCTGCCATAACAACAGCTATTTTGTTAAATGCAGAGGAAACTCACCCTTTCCATCATGGCTGAATTCAAGCATGTTGAAACGGAACACTGGCTAAGAAGGAGGCATGAGCATCGCCTTCTCCTTCTGCTTAAGGAATGCCTGCTCCCTCTATGCTTTACACCCACATCCACACCTACTCCCTGACTCCAATCCTCTTCTTGCTACATTCTATACCTGCATCTTACTCCCACCATCAACAACACATGACTCGGTGGCTGAAATTCTATTGCTTAGCACAGGAAGTCACAACTAGAGTAGGACCTTTGAATCAATCGAACTTATGGAGGTGACAAATAATCAAATCCCCACTGACTCAATGGGCTACTGAAATTGTGACTTTATTCATCAACAGGATTTCAGCTAATGGAAATGCACATACAGAAGTGAATAAAGGACAAAATGTGGACAAAAAGGAAATGAAAATACTTCTCCAAAGTGTGCACAAACTATTCATCTCAGGAAGAGTCCTGAAGCTTTCCTGCATTTAAAGCCATCACACCTTCCATATGCAGTGATTCTCATAGCAATATTTGCAGTGGTTTAAAAACAGCCCTAGATACAACTGTGAAAGACAGATGTTCGTTTTAGAAATGGAAATAAATTATCTTCTTCAGCAAACAGGAGATAATCAGAGTCATATGGAAATGGAGACAAAAATAAATGCCACACTTACAGTGGAAAGTGAAGGATTTGGTCATCAAGTGATAATTAGTTTATGCAAAGAAGAAGAGATGAGTGCCTTACTTGTAGAGAGGAATGTCGGGCTCCTTTCCTTCTGTTCTGAGAGTCAAGCAGCACTGCTGGAGCTGGGATTTTGGATCATTCCAGTCCTGGTTCAATATGAATTCCTATGACCATGGGGGGGGGGGGAAACGACAGAGAAACAATAACAGGTGCAAACTAAGAAAGAGGTTGGAGATCGGTAACCTCAGAGACAACTTCATAGTTAAAATGGAGAAGGTGCATTTTTGATGACTGGGGTTACACATATACACATATATTTATACATATGCATACTAAAGTTTGTACCTAAGAATCCACAGCACCAATGTGACAGTGTAGATGTTCAGAAATATATGTGTGTGGAAACACAAAGGCCCACTCATCAAAGTTCTGGAATCTAGAAGCTCAGAGACAACTTCATAGTTAAAATGGAGAAGGTGCATTTTTGATGACTGGGGTTACACATATACACATATATTTATACATATGCATACTAAAGTTTGTACCTAAGAATCCACAGCACCAATGTGACAGTGTAGATGTTCAGAAATATATGTGTGTGGAAACACAAAGGCCCACTCATCAAAGTTCTGGAATCTAGAAGGACCTCCTTTATGTAGGTGTTCAGAAATATGTGTGTGAAAACACAAAGGCCACTCATCAAAGTTCTGGAATCTAGAAGGACCTCCTTTTTGAGTGGCCCAGATGAAGCCAAACCCAGGTTTGTTCAGTGTAAACATGTGAAACGGTTCCCAGGCTTACCTTTAGTCGTGGAAAAAAGCAGACATTCATGAAGGTATGGACATACTCAAGATCCTTATCTATGTACAGAGCAGCAATAAAGGCTGGGAAAACATAAACAGAATATGTTAACAGTATTACTCTTATTTGCTCAGCAACAAACTCCACACTTCTGGAGAATCTGTACACCGAGGAGCATTCCACTTTTCTCACAGCACCTCCCACATCAAGGTAGTTGACTGAGCAGCAGCAGTGCAAATTGAAGCCCCCACATCAAGGTACTAGCTGACTGAGCAGCAGCAGTGCAAATTGAAGCCAAAAAAAGATAGATGCAAAGAAACAGGCAGTAGGGTCTACTAAGCCCCACAGCATGCATAAAGAGCATCTGAAAGACAGAGTTTCAGAAAGCAGAAAACGAAAGTTAATAAAAGGTGGCGGGGAATGATCCACTGGTCATCTATATTTATGAAATGAAATATGGTCTCCAGTATCATACAATAGAAGAGGGGACTGACTTCAGCTTTTCAGCAGAGTCGAGGCAAGCATAAAAGATGTGCTGGATAGAGTTCTAGAGAAATCTGTGTCTTGTAACTTCCATGCCTAAGTTTGTAGGTGTGTGTCACTCTTGGAAGGATTATCTTTGTATTGAGTTCCCCCCCCCCTTTATGCACAATTGGGAGATGTGTGCTTGTAATAGCATGGAACAATCTCATGCCAAAACTTCTCTTAAGATTGTTTGAAAGAAGTCTTCCGGGTCTACATATAATGTGAGGATGGTCAAGAACACCAGCAGAAGACTCTCGTCTATATAGAGTGAGTAAGTATGCCTAATGATTAAAATCACATACAGACATGCTCTCAGCAACCTGTAACTTTCCCTAAAAATAGGGTCTTATATAAATTTTTGCTCCAACAATGCATTAGGGCTTGTCTTATATAATTTTTTGCTCCAACAATGCATTAGGGCTTATTTTCAGGGGATTTTTAATTTTATTTTCATGTACATTTATGTACATTCATGTCATCTTCTTCTGGCTACTGCGCAATGGTGGAGGGCGGGGTTTCACTTAACTAGGGCTTATTTTTAGGGTAGGGCTTATATTACGAGCATCTGAAAAATCATACTAGGGCTTATTTTAATTTTTTGCTCCAACAATGCATTAGGGCTTATTTTCAGGGGATTTTTAATTTTATTTTCATGTACATTTATGTACATTCATGTCATCTTCTTCTGGCTACTGCGCAATGGTGGAGGGCGGGGTTTCACTTAACTAGGGCTTATTTTTAGGGTAGGGCTTATATTACGAGCATCTGAAAAATCATACTAGGGCTTATTTTCCGGTTAGGTCTTATTTTCGGGGAAACAGGGGAAGAAGCTGCCATATATTAAAATCAGGGTATTGGTGTATACCTTTCAGTTCACTTCCATTCTGCCACATGCCACTCACCACAAAAAAAACCTGAGAAAATGCTTCTTAAAAATAAAAAAGTCCCCTCATCCCCTCTAGTGGCCGAAAGAAAATGAAATGAATGAAAAAATGAATAAATAAATGAATAAATAAATATGGAGCAAGAGTGTTGGGGCTCCCATAGCATGGCAAAATTTCCTCCAAGATGATGCCTGAGAAACCTCTGAGTGCTTTCTAAAAACCTGTAGAGGCAGGCGCTTCAAAGGTTTTCCAGGGATGCATGTGGCCCACAGGCCACACTGCCCATCCCTGCCTTAGAACAATATTCCACCGTAGAAAGGCTACAATCAATCAGGTAAGAGATGTGAACCATAAGAGAATGAAAAACAGACATCCAAGTATGTTTGCAGGTGAGTACAGAATTACCTAGGGTACACATTCATGCTTTTCAGTTGTCGTATTTTTAAGCTCTCCCTTTATATACAAAAATGTTCAAAACTGAAGAATGCATCTCCTAAATGGTGGAACCAATTTACCTGCTAATCTCAATTGGTTCTTTACGCGCAGATTAGTGGTTCTGGAAAGGTTTGGGCTTTTAGCCCTGGAAAGAGACTGCTACCCTCCCCAAACAGAGAAATAATTTTCTGTGAGATGAATCTGTTTACACCTTTGAACAATTTGTGGCAGTTTAGCCGTGCTGCTGTAAACTGTTGGAGTCCTCAGGGTTATTAAATAGGTCCTGGAAGCTGCTTATCGAATTCTGGCATTGGATCTGGTTTCTTTCCATTATGTGTGAGGAAACAGTCCAGGCGACTCTTTTGCATCTCTGCTTGCCACAGCTGTCTTCAAACACGTCCAAGATGAGAATGCAGAGATCTGATCTACCCTTTGCAACTGGCCACCAGGTTCTGATGAACTTAACGTTCGCCCATAATGAACATTGTTAATGATAAGACATTTTGGTGGCTGCTAATTCACTGGGTCACCGTGAGCTGGAAACGAGTTGATGGCACATAGTAACAATAGCAACAAATGCTAGGTCATTATTGTTGGGTAATGTTCTGCTACAGATTTATCCACATTCTCTATCTATCTATCTATCTATCTATCTATCTATCTATCTATCTATCTATCTATCTATCTATCTATCTATCTATCTATCTATCTATCTATCTATCTATCTATCTATCTATCTATCTATCTATCCGCATCTCTGCTTGCCACAGCTGTCTTCAAACACGTCCAAGATGAGAATGCAGAGATCTGATCTACCCTTTGCAACTGGCCACCAGGTTCTGATGAACTTAACGTTCGCCCATAATGAACATTGTTAATGATAAGACATTTTGGTGGCTGCTAATTCACTGGGTCACCGTGAGCTGGAAACGAGTTGATGGCACATAGTAACAATAGCAACAAATGCTAGGTCATTACTGTTGGCTAATGTTCTGCTACAGATTTATCCATATTCTCTATCTATCTATCCATCTATCCATCCATCCATCCATTCATTCTATTTATATCCCACCTATCTTGTCATTGCGACCATTCTAGGTGGCTATGAAAACCTTAATGTCTTCTCTCAGAGCAGAAAACTGCACCAGCAAAGCTCTTCAACCAAGGTAATATACCTCACGATGGTACACTAAGTCACCATAGGCCAATGGAAGGACTTTTAAATAAGCAACTAAACAGTTCCCTATTTTTGTGATTACTACAGACAAGATTGTCCATAGAAATGTTGATGGTATATGATGCAATACCATCAGGTTAGCGGGATCAATGCCTAGGAGTGTCATCTTTTTCCTCATTAGTGCAACAAATCTCTAATCAGATACAACTATGGTGAGAGCTGCAAATTCATCAAAAGATAAACACCAGTCTTGTGTTGCAAACACAAATCTTCCTGAAAATACCACCTCCTCTTACAGTGTCATGAATGGGTTCCAACAGAAGCATGTCTTCTCAAGCCTTGAGGAGGAATTTGATTCCACACAAAAAGATGGAAAATTTAGTCATAATGCTTCATACTCGCGATCTCCTCTACTACAAACATATTCTCTCAGGCAGACATCTTCTCTTCCATGTCCTTGACATGGTTCTCAACTGTTTCATGTGGCAAGCCGAAGTCCCCAATCAATTTCTGTTTCTGTGGAGCTATCAGTGCTGAAGTGGTTGTAACACAATCATTTAAAAATAGTTCCTCAGTGTAAAGGTGTAATTTCTCAGCCACAGGTTCACAAACACAGAGTAACTAGCATGAACGATGATGCCCTCTTGTGCTTCTTTGTGAAAATCTGTTGCTAACCAACCATGATTTCTTTCTCCAGGGACTCCAGTTTTCAACATATGTTTGGCCCTGATAATCCTGAAAACTGCTATGATTTAAGGAGCAGTGTCTCTTGAAGTTACCTTTTTTCAGCAAAGTGAGATGCCTGTTAGAGGGGATTTTCTTCGGGTGGGTTCTTGCTTTTGTATGTTTATTATTTTAATTTTGTTTGTCCATTATGCTACTTTGTTATAGCTGCCCAGAGTAGTGTCTTGCCACTAGATGGGCAGGGTACAAATCCAACAAACAAACAAACAAACAAGGAGTAGTGTCTTGCCACCAGATGGGCAGGGTACAAATCCAACAACAAACAAACAAACAAACAAATCAATCAATCAATCACTACAAAGCAGGGAAATAAACTTGCCTCTAGAACCCTAATATCAAATCAAAGCACCCTCCCATCTAGTTTTCCTGAAAAATACACTGCTCTCCCCACAAACCCTTTTTCTTTGAGAGGACATGTTGAGCAACATCTACCCACCTAATTCACATGAAATAAACCGAAAAGTCCATGTTTTCATACATCTTTTTATTAAAATTGACTAAAAATTGTGTTTTCATCTTCCAATTTCAAGACTTCCATTTCCAAATACATTCCTTTACTTTTAGCGTAATCTAAGTTCTTTACTTTTCTTTTTTTGTTGTTTCTCCCCTTACATTTGTTTAAAAAACAACATTTTCCCCCTTGATTTCCCTTGTGTTTCCATTCCACGGTCTATTCCCAACTTAATTTCTTCCAGATAACCACCCATGTTTTTTAGCTGCAGAGCAGCAGTCAAAGCTGTACTGTTGACAGTCTGCTTGATGGTGCTGGATGCTGATGAAGACTCCACCAGCGCTATAGGGAACTGGGAGAAATGTTGGCCAATGCTTTTGAGAGGGAAGAGGGAAGCATCAAGGAAAATGAAGTAAAGGGTAGCCATGTGGTCACAATAAAATAAAATCCAAACACAAAAATAGGCAATACTTGTATAGACCACTAAAAAATAACCACACACCATTTTTAGTGGTCTATAAACGAAAATGAAGTTTGCCTGGAGCACAAAAGGGCGTTCCTTGTATTCTGATAAAATGGGAGAGCAACAGAAGGGGACTGGCTATCTGTGTTGCTGGTAGCCCTAATTTCAGTGGTATATCTTTGGTGCTTTTGGTGGCAGGGCAATGCAGTGGGGGCCACAAAACTGCCTCGGAGAGTTGTATGCAGCCTGGAGGCAGCACATTGCTCATCTTTTCCTAATGTTAAAACCCCCTGTCCATTCCCTTTGCTCATCTCACCCCCACTAACTGCTTTAAGAGTAAAACCCCAATTGCTCCTTTCCCAATGTTTTTACCCTCCTCCTATGTTAACTCTCCACCCTCCAAGTCATCTCTTCCCACCTGCCCCAGTCACACTCCAAAACAATAGTTCACTGAGGTTGGTCTACCAACAAGGACACCTACAAAGACATCCTGAGCGGCGGCTGTAACTCTCTTTGACAAGAGCTGAAAACTAAGTCACTGAGAATGGCCACATCTATACAAATTAATAAAAAGGAAATGTTTTGAAGAGCAAGGGACAGAGCCAGCTCTTCAAATCCTGTGGTTTAGCCAGCAGACTATAACTTCTTAGAGATAAATCACAGCAAAGTATACACTCTCAACGGTCAGGATATAAATCTCGATTGTTTGTGAACAACTTCCATTTACTAAAAGGATTTGGCAAGAGACACTGGGCCAGCGCAACTCGCAAAATGTATTAAAATGCTCTGGATAGAGATTAACTTCCCTTGGCCTGATATTTATTGCCACTTCACTTGCAATGGGAAGAGAACTTTAAAAAAAAAGTTGAAAATTAACTGAAAGTGATTCTTACTGCACGGTGTAGTTTTACGCTACAAGACCTTTGGAAGCAACACTGCGTATGGGGTTGCAAATTGATTATGTTTCAAATAAAATAGGAAACCCTTTTTTTTTCCTTTTTACTCCTCGAGACCGTAAGAGCAAGTAACACTGCTTTGATTAATGCTTGTTCTCCTGCCCTAGACATTAAAGTTTGGTGTTAATAAAATGCTCCAAAACTCTGGAGATCAGTAGGAGTCTGCAGGGTCATGCCACCCCCATCACCATCCTGTCACACCTGGCCTTCTCCAACATCCTCCTCTACAGTTCCACCTGCATAGACATTAATATTTACCAGGTTGGAGGTGTACGCATTCAAATTCTTTTTATTAATTAAATTTTAACACAACCTTTTAATTAATTTATATTAACTGCTGTCGATCAATGTTACCATGTGTAAGTCTGAAGCCTTCGTGCAGCACACTGCACTAGCCCACATATAAGTTTGCATTCAGTTCAGCTTGAAGACAGAGCAGTATTCAAAAGGTTAGAGCCACAAAGTTGCCCTACGTCTGCTGCTGTGGGGCCCACTTGGGAATAGAGTAGATGGTTGTTCTCCTCATGGGCCCCCACAAGGGCGCATCAGAATAGGAAGTATTCCTAAGGGATGGCAATAGCCATGGAGTCATTCTGATAGCTACATACCCCTGCTTGAAAGCTTCTGTGTATCAGGTGAAAGGTTATTCCAACATGGGCAAAAACAGATTTTTTCACTAGTTTTTTTTTAAAAATAAATCCCTGCTGGGGCTAGATGCTTAGTAAATGTCAAGGAGCTAGTTACTCTCAGCCTAACTTACTCCATAGGAAAATGGCAGAACCCCAACTGAGAATACAAAAAGCAACTCAGGAAAAGAGGAGCAGTTTGACAGATAAATAAATAATCACTGCTTTTTTAAAAAAAAACTATAGCTATTACTACTCATTATTACTATTACCTTGAATGCATTACAGTGGTGCCTCGCATTACAGTGGTGCCTCGACGAAATTGCTTTGCGATGGACTTTTTGCCATCGCAAATGCGAACGCTTTGCGATGGTCCCTATGGGGGAAATTTGCTTTGCGAGGATCACAGGGAAGCGATCATTGCAAAGCCCCCATTTTTGGCCAGCTGATCAGCGGTTTCAAAATGGCTGCCGGGTAAACAAAATGGCCGCCTGCTGTTTTCAGGCACGGATACCTCGCTTTACAGGCACCGAAAATGGCGGCGCTATGGAGGATCTTTGCTTAAAGGTGAGTTTTTAGCCCATAGGAACGCATTAATCGCGTTTTAATGCGTTTCTATGGGCTTTTTATTTTCGCTTAGCGATGTTATAGCTTAGCAACGATTTTTTCTGCACGGATTAACATCGCTAAGCGAGGCACCACTGTACGTGTTCTCAATGGTAGCCTGAAACTAACTTTTTAAACAAAGAGGACTATTATGGCACAACAACCCATCTTCGGCTGTACCAAAGCCTCTCCTTCCTCCACTATCTATTTGTGTGACTTCATTTTAATCATTAACTTGCTTTCAAAGGGAAATAAAGAAACGGCACTCACATTCCAAGAGATCTGCCAGGGTCTTTGTGCGTAACGCCACAGGACGCTTGGTTTTGTCGTTAGTGATGGCGAACTCCTGCATGCCTAGCTCTTCTGCAACCTTGGCCTGTGTCCTGTTGTTGACCAGGGAGCTTCGCAACAGCTACCAACACAAAAGATCAAACCCAGGGTTAATGCTCAAGACAAGAAGAATACCATCTCCAGAATGGCTCTATGGACTTCATCTCTTGCCATTCCTTGACAAAACAGATGTGAAACAATTTTGGGTAGTAGGTGCCCAATGCAAACTGCTATTCCTATTAACCCCTTATTGCACACATTGTGTCTTCTCTTCCTACTCAAGAGTACCCTGCTGAAGAATCACCATGCAATTTCCACAGAACCTCTGCATAAGTGAGGCCCCTTGGCATCTACTGGAGTTGCATATGGAGCACCGTCCAGTTGAGTCATACTGCGACCCCACTTTAAGTGACAGCATCCTATGTTTTCTTCTGGTTACATGTTATTGGGGAAAGAAAGAGGAAGTGGTGATCAGTAAGTTGTCACATAAGAAAGCATACTCGCCACTGGTGATTTTGTCACCAAGCAACACTAAGAGGCCTCTAAGGAACCTTTCAAAGACATTCTGGATTCACATTTTAAAATTTTAAATTCCCTATTGTTCAGTGCATCATTTGAAACCTAAATGTTAGTTAATATTAACTACATTTAGCTGTACCAGATCAGGTTCATAAACTGTGTTTTGAAGTCAGCTTGTCACCATTAAGTGTATATAAGAATAATCAAAGGTTATTAGGTGCAAACAAAACAATAAGCTATGACTAATCAAAAATTGAAGTAAAGGCCAGGACATTTATCCACAACACCACATTCAAGGAGGCTCCTTCAAGTATGCTGTTATATATCTATCCTGTGGCTTAGTGTTGCCTCTCAAGCAGTATCCAATGTCCTGTAATTTTTCAGCACTTATTAGAGAGGGAAAGCTACTTAATATCAAACCAAAGCTGATAGCCTGCTAGTGATGAATATGCCTTTGGTAAAGCTTACAATCAATAGGTTTGCCACCATTGTTCTGATTCTGTGAAAGTTATTATGCCTAACTAAACACAAATAGACTTGACAACATATAGAACAGAATGAGTTGGTACTCAAAGTGTCACCCATGCTAATTTTTTCAAATGCAGCCAACCACCTGTGGCAACCAAAAAATAAGAACAGGCACAGAAACTGGTTGACAGGAAGAGGGAACCCAGTGCTTTAATTAATAGCGGCAACTTTCCAAAAGAATATGCATGTAACTTATCATTGGGGCAACTTCTGCTGTGAACCAGTGGTTCGGAAAGCAAAGCTTAACTGCATGTGTAAATTTGCATAGGCTGCGAAGACTGAATGAATAGCCAAGTAGGAGAAGTTTCTGCAGAAGATTCAAAGATATGCGGTGGTGGCTGAGAGAAGACAATAATACTGTGAAATGGAAGGTAATGCATGCATGCAACATAAAAGCATTTTAAAAAAAAGATTATTTCTGTTTGATTAGATGAAAGGAAACTCCAACAGGGGCAGGTCTATTGATAAGAAATTTAACATATAATATTTATTCAAGAGAAAATGGGATGGAGAGATACCCAAATCATACTTAATAGAAGGTCTTGGGCAAAAACTAGCTCAAGGGCATCAGGTAAGACCCCCCAAAAAAACCAAACAAAAAAACAACAAAAAACAAACAAAAAACAAAAAACAAGCAAAAAAAAAACAAAACAAAAACAGAGGGAGATATATTCAGAACTTATAACATAGCTTTTGTTAAACATTTAGCCATTCTGCCTCTTCAATTATAGGTTCAAAGAGTATGCAGCTCTTTGAAAGGATGGTTCAGGTATTGGTGGAGTGAAATCTATTAAGAAGAACAAGAGCTGGTGGTTATAGTAGAGGGGATGGATAATAAAGGGGTGCAAGCCTATATCCTGTAAGTCAAAGCTGCACCTTCTTCCTGGCACAGAACTCTTTAAAAGGATTTGCAATTACATTTGATGAGGATAGTAAAAACTGGCCATCCTTGGGAAGATAATGACAAACAATATCTCCAGGATGTAGACACATTAGTACTTGAACAGAGTTCTTGTCTGACTTCAAAAGCTAAGCAGGGTCAGGCATGGTTCACATTTGAATGGGAGACCCCAAGGGAATCCTGGGGATCTCCAAGAAGACCTAGGAGACAATCCTATCCTGTCTCAGAACCTAGAGATATTACCAGTTGGCAGTTGAGGATGACAAAGTAAATGGACCAAAGGTTTGTCCCTACCCCTATTGTGAAACAAATCCTAAGGTAGACCTGTTTAGCTACTGAAGGGTTGATTCCATAGTTCATTAATGAAGCTCTAGAGAGCAAAGCATTGCTGAAGCTAAGCAGCTGTAGATTTGGTCATTTCTTCAGAGGGGAGATTATTAGAATGCTATTTAAGAGCAGGAGACAAGTACAATGAATAAATATTATTCAAAAAGAAAGACCAATTACTGAGAATTGCTGCTGGAACTGCTCATTAGCTTTGAACAATAACAACAGTATTGCAACATTAATGGCATTGGTCTACCTGAACTGTTTTGACATTTTAGTAAATAAAGACATGTTACCCATGGTCCTAAGAGGAACAAGTTAATCCCTTGGTTATTAAAAGCTATTGATCTGTTTTAGAGAGAGAGCTCACATTGCACCCAGACTCCATGAGTCAAACTCCCATGATTGCAACAGCACTCACATCTTCATATAAAGAGAACACTGTTAAGAGCAAGTGGCAGACAGACGTGGCTGACATGAATTAAGCCCAAAATAATTCACTAACTACTTGTAACCTTCTCCCACCCCACCTGCATGATGCTTCCACATTTCTGCTGCTAAAAAGAGAGAGAAAGAGAAGCCTTACCGTTAGGTGCCCTTCATCAACTACTTGTAACCTTGTCCCACCCCACCTGCATGATGCTTCCACAATTCTGCTGCTAAAAAGAGAGAGAGAGAAGCCTTACCGTTAGGTGCCCTTCATGATGGTCTGGGAAATGTATGAATAGATATTCTGTGGCAACTAACTGCATAATTGAATCACCCAAGAATTCCATCCTTTGATTGTGGCCCCTGTAACAGGAAGCAAGACAGAGATCAGTAAGTTATAACAAGGGGAGGAAAAACAATCTGCCTTGCTATAGAACTAGACTTCTAAACAAAAGTTAAAGGTGTGAATTACGCCAAACATGCATTTAAAATGGCTTGCATTTATGTCAGCTAGGTAAAAAGAAATAATGTTGCATTCTGGGATTTTTTTTGGGGGGGTGGCACTAAGATTATTTTCAGCAGGCAAGATCAAAATTATGTGTTTAGTAACCATATGTGAGAAGTTCCCACAAACTCCTTCATGTGCTGAAAACAAACACGGACAAATTTGGGGACAGGACCAGAAGGGTCCATCCCATGCCCTGGCTGTACATCCTGCTAGCCACATATTTGACTGTCATGTAGAAGAACCTTACTAGCATGTTCCCCACACAGATGAGATTCCTTGGTCAGTCATGATTCTCCTTTGTGTTGAACAGCCCGAAGAAGGGCATATGTAGGGTGGCAAGGAGTACAGCTTGCTGGTGAGATCCTGTGCTCCCACTACACATATACTGTATCTGTTTTCAATGTGTGAGGTAATTTTGTGTGGACTTTTACAGTGCTCCTTTCAATAAATGTTGAGATGTGATGTTCAGTCCTGCAGTGGAGCTTGTGTCCTCAGAAAGAATATTTCCATGACTCTACAGAACCTCATTTGAGCTTTTCTGGGGAAAGAGTGTCACAATACTTTCCATGCTGGTTTAAATACTGAAATGTGTTTAGTTTAAACTGTGAAGGAGTAATGTGGATCAGGGTTTACATATATACAGATATCCCCTGCTTCCTCTCACCTTGATTTTTAAATGCTCACTGGCTGGCAGCTGAAAAGAAATAAGCTGAAGTGAAAATATTGGATCTGAGGCTGGATAGACAAAATGTGATAAAGCAAAACAAAAGCAAAGTGTACTACTTATATACCATCCCACAGTGCTCAAAGCTCTCTCTGGCCAGTTTACAATTTATATTTCCCCTCTATCCCTAATAGGAGTATATGAGCCTGAAGAAACAAGAACCAATCTGCCTGTATGTAGAAAAGTAGCTATTAATCTTTTCTGGGTCACCAACATCTGCATGAATTTGACTATAAGAAACGGATTGCCCCCAGCCTTAACGCGTATAAGCACATATAATGCAGAGGTTTGTACAGAAGTATATATATATAAAATGACTACGCAAAAGCCTTTGACTGTGTGTGTGTGTGTGTGTGTGTGTGTGTACAGACACAGACACACACACACACACAGACACACACACACACACAAATATATATGACTATGCAAAAGTCTTTGACTGTGTGGACCACAACAAACTATGGCAAGTTCTTAAAGAAATGGGAGTGTCTGACCACCTTATCTATCTCCTGAGAAATCTATATATGGCACAGGAAGCAACAGTTAGAACTGGATATGGAACAACTGATTGGTTCAAAATTGGGAAAGGAGTACAACAAGGTTGTGTATTGTCTCCCTGCTTATTTAACTTATATGCAGAATACACCATGCGAAAAGCCAGACTGGAGGAATCCCAAGATGGAATCAAAATTGCCAGAAGAAGTATCAGGAATCTCAGATGCAGATGATACCACTCTGATGGCAGAAAGTGAGGAGGAATTAAAGAACCTCTTAATGAGGGTGAAAGAGGAGAGCACAAAAATGGTCTGAAGCTCAACATCAAAAAAAAAAAAACCCTAAGATCACGGCCACTGGTCCCATCACCTCGTGGCAAATAGAAGGGGAAGATATGGAGGCAGTGACAGATTTTACTTTCTTGGGCTCCATGATCACTGTAGATGGGGCCAGCAACCATGACATTAAAATACACCTGCTTCTTGGGAGGAAAGCGATGACAAACCTAGGCAGCATCTTAAAAAGCAAAATTAAAAGACACCTAGGCAGCATCTTAAAAAGCAGAGACATCACCTTGCGGACAAAGGTCAGCATAGTCAAAGCTATGGTTTTTCCAGTAGCGATGTATGGAAGTGAGAGCTGGACCATAAAGAAGGCTGACCGCTGAAAAATTGATGCTTTTGAATCGTGGTGCTGGAAGAGACTCTTGAGAGTCCCCTGGACTACAAGGAGATCAAACCTATCCGTTCTGAAGGAAATCAAGCCTGAGAGCTCACTGGAAGGACAGATCCTGAAGCTGAGGCTCCAATACTTTGGCCATCTCAAGAGAAGAGAAGACTCCCTGGAAAAGACCTTGATGTTGGGAAAGTGTGAAGGCAAGAGAAGAAGGGGATGACAGAGGATGAGATGGCTGGACAGTGTCATCAAAGTGACCAACGTGACTTTGACCCAACTCTGGGAGGGAGTGGAAGATAGGAGGGCCTGACATGCTCTTTTCCATGGGGTCACAAAGAGTCGGACACGACTTAATGACTAAAACACACACACACACACACATACAAAGCTGAATATATATAAAGGAAATGGAAGGACACCCTTCCTTCCTTCCCTTGGGTGCCCAGTTCAGAAATCCCCTTAAGTCTTGGATCCCAGGTTAAGAACTCCAGACTTTGAGGAGCAGACCCTCAGTACAATGGATAGGAAGGAAAAAGCAAAAAAAAACAAAAATCAAACAAAAAAATTCTTACAGAGTCAGATGGTTGAATCCCACTGTCCTTAAAGTGAAAGCCCGTGCCAAGAGGCGAACATGAGTAAATATGACTCCAATGGCATCTTCAAACTCAGTCAGTTTCTGGAGGACTGGAGAGGTCTCAATCAGTTGTCGATCGGTATTAGATTCCTGCAGCTGAAAATAAATCTGAAACATTAAAACAGAAAATCTCTCACATACCTTGAGAACCCTATTAGAGTTGCCATAAATCAGAAGCAACTTGGTAACTCATAACACCCACCACCACCACCCCACCTTTAACACATCCTCCAGAGGAAGAAGCTTTCTGGCTATCACAGAACCATAGGCCAAAATCCTTTTGCATAGCTATGCCAATGGCATAACTCTGGAGGCAAATTACCCCAAGTTAAGAAATCACTGTAGATATCATCAGTATGCAGCAATTGATAGTGTCTGCAGGGATTTCTTAACTTGGGGCATTTTGCCTCAAACAGTTACATTGCTTATGCATAATTAGGTAAGAGGACTTGGGCTGCTGAATTATAGCACTGGTGGAGACAGAAGAATCACTGAGTCCAACCCTCCACCAAAGCAGGAAAAACCTACAGACACCCAGTGATGGTGTCCAGAAGAGACACAAGAGCTACTCGGACTACAACTCCAGAATCCCATTGCCAGCATGGCAACCAGTTATGGGATTCTGGGAAGTACACAAAAATAAGGTTTCCTATCTCCAGTTACCACCAGGTTAAGAGGTTTTTATTGTTCTATGCTTTAAAGACATTTAAAGCCATTTGAAGAATGTATTAGCTCTTCCTGTTTGTTCAGTTGACTGACGGGTTCATTCAACATGTTTTTTGTTGTTTAAGTTGATTGCTAAATGATCAACTGTAATGTTTTTTTTTCTTGTTAGATGCCCCAGGAAAATTTACATGATGAAGATTTGTGGAATATAAATGTGATTAATAAATAAATCTCATGGATTTTCTTCAAGTTTTATTTTAGCCTAGTTTACTTTTTTTTAAAAAAAAGACAATTTAGTATTTCTAAATCCAGTTATTTCTGTTGGAATCTAGCAGACAAGTTTGCCAAAAATGGTAAAAACAGGATTCTCGTGCTCTGGGGTTTTACGGGAACATATATACAACATACACATTTCTCAAAGGGGCTTGTTCCAGTTTTGTTGACTATTTAATATTTCAAAGGGCAGAAACTGAAGGCAAAGTGCATTTCAGTAAAGTATATTTACAGTTTTAGGAATACAGAAGGTCCCCGCTACAAAACAGGAAAAGTGGAGCTTCTTCATGACGCCTTTATACATTTTCAGCTCACAGCACTGACAGAACACTGAATAACATATACAGTATACACAATTGTTGAAAAAAATCCAACTTTAGCCTGCTGGGATTTCAGTAGAAATTACTTATACACTGGTGCCCCACATAGCGACGTTAATCCGTTCCGGATTAACGTCGCTATGCAGAAACATCGCTAAACGGATTGAAAAACCTCATAGGAATGCATTAAACTTAGTTTAATGCGTTCCTATGGAGCCCTAAACTCATCGTTCAGCGATGTGCCGCCATTTTCGCGCCCTCGGTAAACGAGGGCAGGGCACAAAAACACTTGTGGTGGCCATTTTGGGCATCCGGCGGCCATTTTGGAACCGCCAATCAGCTGTTCTGTAAACATCGCAATGCGAGTTTCCCCCTATCTAAACATTGCAATGCGATCGCTTTTGCAATTGCAATTGCGACATCGCTATGTGGATTAGTTGTTAAACGGTGTGCTCGTTAAGCGAGGCACCACTGTATAAAATATGTATATAACATGCTTTATGATTTTCATCTTTTAACCATACCATTTTCTCTTACCCATCTACACAGAAAACCTGTGATGTTCATTTTTAAATATGACTGAGAATAACGCCTCTGTTATAAGTTATAGATCTGCTGTAAGGTGGAGTCCAATAATGTATATAAAGCGGAGCTCAATAATGTATATAAAGGGCTCGGAGCAGTTTAGGAGTACTAACTTTTTTACGTGAAATGATGAAAAACAGGCTCACTAAGATTTTTTGAAGGGTTCAAAGAACGTATCTATTCTCTGGTATATTCCACCTAGGATAAACTGAGGGACACCTTTAGGAGGCTGTGGCACAGGGAGCTCCAGAGAATCAAGATCACTCCTCTCATCCTTTTGGAATGATTGAAACCTTCATATGCTGCCTTTAAGAAGTTTTGGGTGGGAGGGATCTTTCAGGACTGGGTTGATTGCCAATCAATCCAGCTGCAACCAATTGATCCCGCTCTGCCATACCTCTTTGCATAAGAGTACTCTTCCTACTCAGGGGTCAGTGGCATTTAAGAGTTATGTAGTCAGTGTTCAGTTAGACAATCAATATTAAGTTAGAGTCAGCCACCTAGTCAGTCATGAAGTTAGTTATTAGTTAAGGTCTCGTCATGTAGTCAATCATCATTTTTCAAACAATATGCTCAGAACTGTGAGTAAATGGAATTTTTTATTCTTTCTCTTATCGATGTCTCAGAGTGAGTTATTGAGACTGTAAGTGCCAGTTGATGAGAAAAAAAAGGATGGTCTACTGTGGTGAAACCTGAAGCTAATTCTGCTCTGTAGATCCCTGAACCTTCCCCACTGTGTATAGCTAGAGGTTTTTAAGCCCACAATTTCATACTCTGCCAAGACATTCATTATTGAATCTGCCAACAGAGAGCTACAGGCCATCTGACATGTGAAATTCTCAGTTTCCTGGGCCTGGAGGAACAAAATGTCTGTCTGTCTGATAAAGTACAATTGGCTCAAGGTCACCTGTTGCAGTGGTTCCCAACATTCGGTCCCCATATATCCTTCAATTCCCAGAAATCCTGGCCAGCAGAACTAGAGGGTGAAGGCTTCTGCAAGTTTTAGTCAAAGAACATCTGAGGACCCAAGTGTGTTTCAGATATGAATGACAATTTGAACCCAGATCTCCTGAGCTCTAGTATGACATTCTGTACCACACTGGCTCCCCAACAGTCCCTGTGAGGTGACAAATAGGCATCTGAATCCCTACCTGCAGGAATGGCTGGGGATTTCACGTCACGATCAACTGCTGGCAGTGCCCTGGGGGCTGACGTCAGAACACCAATTCCACTGTGATATAGCTGTTAAGAGTACTGGCCTAGGACTCAGAAGATTTGGGTTCAAATTTGGCCATGAAATGTTGGGCCAGTCACTCTTCCTCTCAGCCTAATCTAGCTCGGGGCCTTTGTGAAAAGAAAATTAGGAGAAAGAGTCATGTACTCTGCCTTAATCACAGTAGGGAAAATATGTATATTAGAGATGGGGGTATTCATATAGGAATATCCGCCCACAGGTGGAAATAACTGACCATTCCACCGCTGACGCAAGCTCAACAGAGCCTTCCTAACCATTCCGCCGCTGATGCAAGCTCAACGGAGCCTTCCTGTCGTGCCGTTGTCCGCAGTGGGTTAGCCACTCCTAGCAGGAGGTGGGATGGGTCACAGAGTGGCTAATCCATTGCATTATTTCCTCATTATAAGAACACTCTGTCTCTGTCTGTCTGTCTGTCTGTCTGTCTGTCTGTCTGTCTGTCTGTCTGTCTGTCTGTCTGTGTGTGTGTGTGTGTGTGTGTGTATAAAACACAAGCCAACTAATCATCTAACTAACAAATATATACAAAGATTCCTTGATTTTTCTTTCTCCATTTGGGGAACCTGCCAGTGGCACCAGACTGCCAGTCCTTTGCAAAGCTATGGGGTGACCGGCATCTGCCTGCCACATTACTGTCTGCCTGCTGCTTGTATTCTAGAGGACTGTTTGTCTTTGAGTCAGAGCAGTTGACACTGCAGAAGATAAAAAAAAAAATTTCACAGAGGCCATGTCTATGTGAAATGTTCAAAGATGTCAACTTAGGTGAATGCCAATAAAAGGCGTCCCTGGGTATTAAAAAAAATACTACTAATAAAAATGCACTCGGAAATCCGTTAGTAAAAAGAGAGACACTTACTTGGAGAGGGTGTAGAGGATAATTAAGCCATACTTCCCGCAGGTCCTGCAAACATTGAGACACGCTTTTAAAGCTCAAGGGAGCCATTTAACAAATTCCACATTGCTAAATAAAATGTCATTCTCCGAAATACTGAAATAGTTTCAGATGCTGACTCTGCTCATTGCAAATTCAATAGTGCTGGCAAACTACTTTTTAAAAACCAGGCATTCTCTGCTCTGCTTGAACTGCCTGTAGTGCTTCCACTTAGTGTTCATGTCAATTAAGTGGAAAGAGAACGCACTCATTTCTTGAACTATGTAACAAATTGTATGTTTGTTGTTTTCAAGTTCTGTAAGTAAAAGAGAACGACAGTGAGCTAAGATCTCTCTCGCTCTCTCTCGCTCTCCCTCTCTCTCACACACACATATCTCTCACATCCAAACATTTCTCAGATTACTTCCAGTACTCTTCATAATTTGAGGACCAGGATATCTGAAAGACCGCCTCTCTCTAAATGCACCTAAATGAGCCTGGAGGTCTTTAGATATCCTTTTTTTTAAGTCTTAACACTGGCACGGTGTAACCCCCTTTTAAATTTTTCCAGGCCCTTTCACTGTCTCAGTACTAAAGCCTTTTTTTACTCCCATGTTTCCATCTCATATTTATACTTCTAGGGTTATTTAAAAAAAAAATTATCACTGGGAATTATGTCTACTTCACAACAAGTATCTTCTTACAAACTACCCTGTGAATTTTGTAAAGGGTAGTAGATAAGTACTGTGTGCAAACAAATAAACGAATGAGCATTACTGCAAAACAGTAAAAACAATTGAGAGACTGTGAGAGAAAAGCAGTGGGTGTGAAAAGCACCTGTGTCATTCCTCCCCACCCCAAATTGCAACATCCCTCTCTGCTAATATATTTGTTTTGTTCTGGGGGGAAAATCAAGTATATGCCCAATTACAATAAACTTCCTTTTTTCTCTGCCCTTTCAATTTGAAATACTTACTCTTAACAAAACCACCACATAAACCAATTGTCGAAGCAAAAAGCCATGTTGTAATGCATCATCAGGCTGCAAAAATTAAGTCATACCTGGTCGTTAAAGAGGAGGCGTCCAAACAGGTGCTTGGCTTCTTCAAGACTTCCTTCCAAGTAAACAGCCCCTGTGTGGTAAGAGTTCACGATAGTACAAATATGTGTTAGTAATTATGGGTCATTTGGGACACCAATCTGCACGCTTGTGACTTGAAATGAACCACTGTGGTTCAGCATTACTTTTCTGAGCATTCAAAAAGAGCTGGGTGACAGAACGAGGCATTTGATGAGCCAAGCTGATTGTTTGGTTTGAAGGAATAATATAGAGCATGTGAAATAAGGCTCCAGAGACACTAGGACACTGCAGATTTAACAGACCCAGATGGATTCCTATACGGTCTTTCAGAAAGTGCTACAGAAGAAGGTGCCACCCTATGCCTGAACAACGTCTTTTTCCCAGTCCTCCTTGCAGCTAGAAAATGTAACTAAATCCTATTCTACAAATGTAACTGAATCATACTACGGTTTTGTAAGGGAAAGGATACGACACACTACTTTGCCATTTGGACGGCACCTATATGTGGGCAAGTGCTGGATGTGGATCAGGAAGTCAACAGATCAACAAAAGTTCCAATACAGGCCCACGAATGGATAGGAAGGAGCCGGACAGAAGAGGCTGGGGCAGCAAAAACAGATGGGGAGAAAACTGATGGGAAGGATGTGGAAATATGAGAAAGGATAAAAAAAATCAAGGAGTATTTGATTGCAGAATGGTAAGGAGTAACCCACTTGCATTATTATTTCCTGAGTTACAACTAGGGAGCTAATTCAAAAGATACGAGCAAGCATGGCTGGGAGTAGGTAGGGAAGGGAACAGGGTATAGAGGCTCAGCTACACTTCTTCCCCTGCATTATTGTATTTTTCTGTGTATAAGACACTAAAAAAAATCAAGGAGTATTTGATTGCAGAATGGTAAGGAGTAACCCACTTGCATTATTATTTCCTGAGTTACAACTAGGGAGCTAATTCAAAAGATACGAGCAAGCATGGCTGGGAGTAGGTAGGGAAGGGAACAGGGTATAGAGGCTCAGCTACACTTCTTCCCCTGCATTATTGTATTTTTCTGTGTATAAGACACTACTTTTTCTTTGAGCAAGCATGGGTGGGAGTAGGTAGGGAACAGAGTATACAGGCTCAGCTAGACTTCTTCCCCTGCATTACTGTATTTTTCCATGTATAAGACACTTTTTCTTAAAATCATTGCACTAAAAATTGAGAGGCATCTTATACACGGAAGTAAGCTGAGGCGAGAACAAAACTGGTTGTACTTTGCCTCTGTAAAAAAGCTTCCTTCAATCACGAGGCTTAGCTTCCTACAGTCAGGAGACTTATGGAACTGACATCAGCTGATGCTGAACAAGCCAATTGGAACATACCTCGTTGGAGGTGGAGCCTGTAGGCTCAGATGCAACAGGCACTTGTAATGCCCGAGTGTTCTGAGCCCAGAGGCTGAATACTCAAAGCTATGTTAAGATTTCTTTATTTGGGGTTAGAAAAGTGGGGGTAGGGGTATCTTATACATGGGGTGTCTTATACACAGAAAAATGCATGCATTTTTAGCTGTACAGTACAACTCCCATATCCGTGAGGGATGGGTTTCAAGACCGCCTACCACCATGGATACTGAAAAGCAGATTATAGCAAACACTACATGTAACCATCTGTTGAACCCAGGACTCTCCTGTACCTGTAATTTTCTTGATGGGGCCTCTATGAGTAAGAACCAAGTTGAAGTTTTCTCTTGTTCATCGCTGTGTTGAAGATGACTGCCCCTCTCTCTCCCACACACAATCTCAATGACTATGTTTTTCTTTTCCTGAACACAATTTCCTTATTTGCCCCAGGAGTGGTGAGGAAGGGGTTAGGAGAAGGCGAGACAGGTGGGAGATGGGAAACCTCTCCCAGAAGGCGGTTCAGCTTAGGTTAGCGCCCTTCCTCTCACTAGCTAATTTATTTCTGAGTTTTTCAAGAATGCTGCTTTAGAATGTAGAGGAAGCTGCCTCAAGCTGCCAAGAAAACAGGTGAAATGGCGATGACTTACTTATATAACATAGTTTATTCTGAAAATTACATCTTGAAAATCTGTACTGTATTTCTATTTTTCCCCATGTAATAGTTTTAATATCTGTATTTTCAGACTGTGGATAAGTTAACACTGATCTCCGCAAATAAAGGGGCCCTATAGCAATTTAGTTTTATTGCAACCTGCTCTAGACTCTCTAGAAAGAGGGGGGTGAGGTTAGAAATCCCTACACACTGCCACGCGTCTCTTCCTCCTTTGGCAGTGCACCTGCAGGGAAGATGGAGGGTCATGGTGGTGGCCAGAGTGGCTGGACGCCTTCCTCTCTGGAGCTGGGCGACACAGCAGGAGAGCTTTTCAGGCTACAGCAGAGACAGAGGCAGCTGTGCACTGGGCCACCTCCAGAACTTCAGCACCCTATTTTGTTTTGTTTCTCCATGGTTGCTGACTGGTAATTATAGCCCTAGGGTGGACTAATGGTCTACTTACTGCTAGGCAGCTTTCTCTACTACACAGGCCCACGCTCCTGGTTGCTTCTAGTGTACTGCGTTACAGTGTACTCAGAATTCACTTTTTGGAGAGTTTATTTATTTCTTAGTTGTATTTATTCCTTGCCTTTCTTCTCAGGAGCTCAAGGAGGTATATATAGCTTTTATCCCTTCAAAACAACCCTAAGAGGTAGATCAATCTGACAGACTGCATGTCCTGTGGGTTTCATGGCTCAGTGGAGATCTGGACCCAGATCTCCTGACTTTCGGAATCCCTTAGTTTGCATGGTGAGTTCAATAGGAGAGACCAGAGGCAAAGCCATAGCACTGTACTGCCCACGGCATCCAGAGAAACAGTCCCCAAATCTGGATCTTCAGTTGTTGGCCCAGCTCCCAGTAGCCACCACAGCCGAGGGACTTTGGAAGTGGAAATCTAAGAATATCTGGAGACTCAAGTTTGAGAACCACTGCGGTGTGAGCTACAATGGCACCATTTCATTATTTTGGTCCCATTTGTGGCACTCTTCAGCTGTGACCGCTTGAAGATTTGCAAGAGTGATGTATGGCCCCCATACTCCTAAGCGGTCCTCAAGAAATACAAAACAGAATCTAAGACAATCCAGGACCTCTTTTCTATGTTGATGAGCCTGTTCATACACATCGATAATCATGCACTGTCAAGTCTGTTCTGACTTATGGTAACCCTTTTCAGGATTCTCCATGTAGAGACTACTCAGAAGTGGTTTACGATCCACTTCTTGAATAGCTCAGTGGTTTAGGTATCTGGCTGCAGAGCCAGAGGTTGGGAGTCTAATTCCCTCCTGTGAGTACAGCCAACCTGTGTAGCCCTGGGCAAGTTCCACAGTCCTAGGATGCCCCCAGAAGAAGGGAATGGTACACCACTTCTGAGTATTCTCTACCTGGAAAACCCTGAAAAGGGTTGCCATAAAGCAGACTTGAAGGCATATGATGATTATTATTACATACACATAGGACAATATAGAGACGTGGTGGCGCTGCGGGCTAAACCGAAGAAGCCTGGGCTGCAGGGTCAGAAGACCAAGCAGTCGTAAGATTGAATCCACGCAACGGAGTGAGCGCGCATCGCTTGTCCCAGCTCCCGCCAACCTAGCGGTTCGAAAGCATGCAAATGCAAGTAGATAAATAGGGACCACCTTAGTGGGAAGGTAACAGCGTTCCGTGTCTAAGTCGCACTGGCCATGTGACCACGGAAGATTGTCTTTGGACAAAACGCTGGCTCTATGGCTTGGAAATGGGGATGAGCACCGCCCCCTAGAGTCGAACACGACTGGACAGAAATTGTCAAGGGGAACCTTTACCTTAGGACAATATGTGATGTATACGCAGGGTAAAAGAACTACCCATTTCTCAAATGATCTTACTTCTAGACCCATGACTGACCTACACCACATAATAAACCAAAATGCAGCAGCGGTGTCTGCACCAACTCCTCTGAAAAGCAGGGCTGTTTGAACCACACATCAGATATGTATCTTTCACTACACTCCCCCCCTCTGCTCCAGTTTCTTTTCAACATTAAACATCAAAGCACTTGCAAAGAGCAAAGCAGAATTAAACAGGACAGCCCCCCCCCACAACCTTATCTTGATCTGATGAAACACAGTATAGCCCAAGGCTGAAGCCATATAGCTGTTACCTTGCAAAAAAGCCAAAATATATTTTCTAAGGCAAAACAAAATGTGTGAGAATAGAAGTCAGGATAGTATGTTGCATATATGGTCTGATCTGATGGAACTTCTTTCTCCTCCTTGTTACTTCTTATGTGTAAAATTCCCCCTAATCAGACTCCATTCTCTTAAGGTAGAAAACATTCCTTTCTAAAAGGTATGTAGGACAGGCCAGGATAGGAGGTAAATTTGGATCTATTGGTAGATCTCTGGGTAATCTGTAGCAGACTGTCAACCATTTCCAGCTCCTGACTCTGCAGCAACACCACCCAAAATATGACTTATCTTTGCCTTAAATTATATTGCTGAATTTAAGTAATCCTGCCATAATTAGAAATGGACTTTTCAAAACACAGAGGAATTGTACCAACTTCCAGGTCTCAAAACATTAATAATAATTATAAAAAAAATTACTGGGCTCAGAATTCTAAACTCCTAATCAAGCATTGTTTAAAATTAGGGAACACAACATGCGAACCTGGATAAATCTGCTTTGCATACTCCTGCCTCCTGCCAACATGTGTGCTGCACGGGCCAACCAGATGACAAAGAGAGCAAGACTCCTGTACTGTACTGTTAACATTTGCTAGAGAAGCAGAAGTTACAGACAGTGCAACTTCTAATGCAAGTTATATATGCATGACTGTCCTCCCCTCCTCTCAAGACCTATTCTGTACTGTTAACATTTGCTTAGAAGCAGAAGTTCCAGACAGTGCAACTTTTAATGCAAGTTATATATGCCTGACTGTCCTCCCCTCCTCTCAAGACCTATTAAGGTGCAGGAACCTTGTCCTTGTTTTCATCTGGTCACCATAGTGCTGTGTAGCTCTGCCTCTTGCCATCCATCATTCACACTATGGTTGCTGGTGGCTTGGACACCTGGGCATTTAATAGCTGTACAGGGGGAAGGCTTCCCATGTGATTCTGAAGTTTTAAATTTGCATTAGCTCAGTGGTTTAGGTACCTGGCTGGGGAGCCAGAGCTTGGGAGTTCGATTCCCCCACTGTGCCTCCTTGGCAGGGGCTGGAATCAATGATCCGCAAAGTCTCTTCCAGCTCTGCAGTTCTAAGATGATGGTGACGTTTACTATTATCTTGCAGGACGTTTGGGGGAATAAAGGGTACATAGCTTAGATAGGTTGTATCAGTTTGCACGTTGCATTTACTAACTTTAAGGAATGCTTAGGGTATGGGTCTCATGGGACTGATTTAAAAAAAAAGGGGGGGGAGGGAATTCCATAAACCTGAAGTCAACCGAGGATCAGCTCGTAACTAGGACATCAAGATCAGAAGATGGAGGCTGCTGATGCCTCTAGGACTAGAATCCGGCAGATGCTGAGATGATCTCATCTAAACCAAGGCATCATTTATGAGAACACCTACATCATTTGGTTTTCACTTCGTCTCGTTTTCTTTATCCAATTACTTCCTCAATCTCTTCCAAGCCAATTGATTCGGAATTGCATTTTTTTGCTCTCTCTTGTTTTTAGTTCTTCACGTGGAACTCGGCCCTCTTGTTTCTTCTTTTACTTGTTGACGATCACTATGGTCCTCAGTGATGCTGTTATGCTAATTGGGTTTCCATGTCTCATGCTCCATCTTTCATTTCTTGTGCTTTATTAAACTGCCGGCCTGCAGTTAATAAAGCTGCTGTACCTAATGATCCTGCTATCTCTTATCGTTCCTCTTGTTTTGCACTTATTGAAACATGGATTCTCCCATTTAGATGCTGCTACTTCTGCTGTTTTTTCATGCAGAAATGCTTTTTCACCCCCTCCACTCTCCTCAACCAATCAATGCAGGGGATATGACTGGGATGTTATTTCTCATTGTCTCCCCCTCCCATTTGTAAGGGTTTTTTTGCTGGTTTTTCTTGGGGTGGAGGAATAGTACAAATCAGGCTCTCCCCCTCCTCCACTTTCAATCTATGATTGTCTGGCATTTGTGATCTGTTGGGCCTCTTTCTTTATACAATACTGAATACTAGACACCCCCTTTTCTCTTCATATTCTGTTCTTATAATAAAAACTTTAATAACTACCTGGATTCCCATGCACCATCTCAAGTCCAATAGCTTTTTAAACCTTTTAGCTCTTTTAGCATGTGTCTTCTAATTCTTGTTCTGATTCTTTCACTCACAAAATTCTACTGCAACTATCTCTCTTCTTTTTTAATGCAACTTTCTTGGTTAAACACTAGGATCACCATCCTGTTATTCTGTTTGGGGATTCATTGTTAAATCCAGTTTTTTATTTTATTTTATTTAGCCCAGGGGTTTAGGCATCTGGCTGTGGAGCCAGAGTTTGCGAGTATGATCCCCCACTGATAGGGGCTGGACTCAACGATCCATAGGGTCCCTTCCAGCTCTGCAATTCTAAGATTATTATTATTATTACTACTCAAAAAATACCAGACACAGTCAATCAAAATTATATGCTATTCCTAATATTTCCAGGTTTTGTAGCTCTGATGGTGTTATTTCTGAGATCTACAAACTGCTTATAATACTGTGTAAAGTTTTTTTGATATTGTTCCCAAAGCCCCGATGACTACAACGATCACTGAAGTGTGTTTCGTCCACACGTGAGATGTTTTGATTGCCTGGTCTCTGTATTTTGTTAGTTTTTTTCCAATTCTTTATTTTCAACTCTGGCATCCCTGGAATTGGCAACGTCAATGATCCAGACATTTCTTCGTTTTATTACTACTATGTCTGGTGTATTATGTTCAAGGTATCTATCTGTTTGGATCTGGAAATCCCACATGGAAATCCCACAAGATATTGACTTAGTCATTTTCTGACACCTTCTCTACCTGATGTTCCCATGGGTTTTTGGAGACTGGCAGTCGCTAGAGAGACTGGCAGTTGTCTAGAGGGGCAGGGTAAAAATTGAATGAATGAATGAATGAATGAATGAATGAATGAATAAATAAATAAATAATACTTTTTGCATAATGACCAGGGAGCTAATTTTACCACTCTATCATCTCTAATTTGGTAATAAGTTTGTGCCATCTTTGGACATCTGCAGATGAAATGTGACACAGTTTCATCTTTTTACATCTGCAGATGAAATGTGACAGAGTTTCATCTTTTTCTTGGCAGAGCCAACATTTGCTGTTAGCACAAATTCTTTGAATCTGTGCAATCTTTGGGCACAGCTGTTATTGTTTGTTTTCCTGGGTTGTGCTATCATATGGTTTTTTGCCTTGCTAAACATTTTTCTTCCCTAGTTATGGGTTCCAGTTCTATTTTCCATTTTTCTGATGGTATTCCACAGGTTCCTGTTCTTGCCTTATTTTTCTGTATTGGTTAGTGGATTCTGTGGCCTATAGCTCCCCCAAAAAGTAACTTCTTCATGCTCTGACTGAGACAGAACTCTATATTTTATATGTGCCAGCAGTTCCATTCCAGTCTCTAATACTTTAGCCCTCTCTGCTTTCCAGTCCTGGCTACTGAACTTCCTAACAAAAGCAGTTTGCAACCTGGAAAAAAACATACATTCAAAGTAGCATCTGATAGTACTGAGTTCTACTAGGAGAAGTGAATATCAACCCAGTGAAGTAATGTGGACAAAATTCTGCAAACTTCATAGTACCGGTATCTTACCTATCAATGCTTCAAAGCAGTTGGCCATTGCGTGGCGCAGATCTGATTCTCGGCAAAGATCAGGCCCATGAGCATAAAGCATAAATCGATCCAGCTCCAGCTTCTACAAAACACCAAGACAGTTTTTGTAAAATAAAGGATGCATTCATGCTGTGGAGAGATACAGGAACAAATGTTTCTAGGGTATCATCATATTAGGGGGGTTATTGGCAATGCATTCAGCGCTGAAGGTCAAACTGGAAACACATCATGAGCTGAAGAGCCATAACTAATTACCTATTTACTTGCACATAATTATTATAATTTGCATGACATTCTGATGAATGTAGTGGATATTGAACTACAGTTGGTATGAATCCCACAGTACTCATACATTTAAAATGTTATTCTCAGGAGTACAAAAGGAGAGTCGGTCTTTCCTAATGTGTCTATTATGCAGACAGGGGCTGAAACAGGATAAATACTGGCATTTTTCAGTCTTAACTCCTTGGTTCTGGTCTCTTAACCCTAATGCAGGTACTCTCTATATGTACTGGGAATAGCATTACACCATGCTTGGAAAAATTACTTTTTAAGGCTACAGCTTCCAGAATTCCTGAGAAAACATGCCTAATGACTGAGCCAGCTGGGGAGGGTGGGATTCTGGGGATTACAGTCCGAAACCCTAATGTCTCCGAGTTCGAGGACTGCATCACCTTAACTCCTACAACCAGCATTCTCATCCTGTTCTCAGAATCTATGGAAAGGTGTGCTTTAAACATTATGAATAAACAGTGGGTTAGTTTGTGTGAACCTAACATGTAGGTGTCCCTCTTAGGACTAGTCACACACATGTTGATTTTGATAAGTGATGGCTTGGTCCAGACTGGTGCCTATAGATAGATGCAAACTTGAATATCAATATGCAGATGCCAGCTAGGGAAAGGATGAGCTGCTATGATCCTGTCCACAATGGGACTAGAAAACTTTGTTAATCCAAACCCCATTGCTTGTCAGGATAAAAAGATCTCAGATCTACTCCCAAGTTCACTCTTATAGCGGTGATCCTGTGTTTAACCTGAGAGTGTTCAGATCTATGTCTTGTCCGCTTAAGTCGCAAGAGACTTAAAAAAAAAAACCACCCACACCCACGTGTTGCTTCTACTGAATCTACATGATCTGGCATTAAAAAAATATGTATTCCATTCAAATTCTGACATCCATTCATTTGCTGTTAAACTTCCATTCATAGGACAAGTTACGACTGCAATTTAAAGCACAGATGGTGGAAAGAAACAGGAGACCCTCTCCATGGAAAAGGTTTCTGGCAAAGAAAACTGTTCTCCTAGCTCCAGTGCAGACACTAGCAAAACCATGGCTTCCAAGCTAGAAGCCAACACTGTGATCTCATGCTGCCTTCCCCAATACAGAAACATTTCCGTCCTTTGTTCCCAGCACAAACAATGGTTTAGCATTCTTAAGCATACCACTGCTGAGTTATCCATGGTCCCACTGAAAACTCTGACCTCCTTATAACTGTAAGTGTTTTGAAACAAATCTGCATGTCATATGAGAGAATCTAATTTGCATTAACCAAACTACTATGTACACATGTAACATGAAACCATGGATAGTGCCAGGAAAAAAAGGAAGAAAATCTCTCAAGAGAAATGGGCATGGACACACCAAGGTGAATTCCCAAATATGGAAGTTATTTTCTTGGATTACTGCATGGCTGGGGGATTCTAGGAACTGTACTGACAAGTAAGTACCAGTTACAGTGGTGCCTCGCTTAACGAGTGCACCGTTTAGCGACGAATCCGCATAGTGACGCGTTTTTGCGATCGCATTGCGATGTTTAGATAGGCCAAAAATCGCATTGCGATGATCTGATCGGTAAGCGTTTCACTTACTGATGTTAGGGAAACAGCTGATCGGCGGTTCCAAAATGGCCGCCGGGGCAGAAAATGACTGACCGCTCCGTTTTCGCGCCCTGCCCTCGCTTACCAAGGTGGCGAAAATGGCGGCCGAATGGGGAATCTTCGCTTACCAGTGAGTTTTTGCCCCATAGGAACACATTATGCGTTCCTATGGGGCTTTCATTTCCGTTTAGCAATGTTTCCGGATAGCGACGTTAATTCTGGAACGGATTAACGTCGCTATGCGGGGCACCACTGTAGTTCCTGATTTGCAAATTATGGATGGCAAGAGGACAGAGTTCGTTATCTCATAGGGAGGCCAAAGAAGGAAATTGTGTATAGAAAGGTGTAGTGCGTGAAATGTTGCTAGATTATATGTTTTTGTTTTGCTGAAGAATAAGAAATGGAAGAAAAACAGCACAGCAAGAAAACTAAGGAAGGAAATAAGCAAAATGTAAGCAACAGTGTGCTGGTTCCATAAATAGGCTCTAACAATTTTATTTGCTTCAGCACTAAGGACACACAACAAATTCCAAGTATATACCTCCAAGTTCAGGAGAGAAAAGTAGGTATATGCTACCCCACAGCTCCACCTAGCTTTCATTTTGCCTCCAGATGTAGGCTATTTACATCAGTGAATCTCTTTCAAGCCTTAAATGAGGTATTAAGTAATGCATGCTAATTCTGTGGTGGAAAAAAACACATCCCAGAGTTATTAGACTCCTCCTTTTATGTATTCATTCCATTTGGCAGAAAGGCACTGAAAAATTGTAAAAGCCAGATGCAGGATGGAGTAGAGATTTGTGTATTTCCCAATATGCATCACAAGAGGTGCACATAAGCAGAGTTCATTCTGGACCCTGGACAGGTTCCTACTGACCAGTGTCTCATTTATTTCTTTTTTCATCCCTCAGGAGTATATTTAATCAGCAAGAGTAGAAAACTAAAACATTAAAGACCCAAGGGTCTTTAAAAGAAAAACTAGCTCATTTCAATTTGGGAAACAATTCGGAAAACAACACTGAATTATCACTGAGACGTTTGTGGAACAAAGAAAATAACCTGTTAAATTTAACTGCAAATAAAGATGGAGACAAACTACATTAGAGAACCAGCACTTGGGCTGAACATTAATTATCTAAATGTTACTTTGGCTTCACTATTATTTACCCTGGCCTCCTATATACGTATCAGAGAGTTCTGGGGCCACTTCTGTTTTTGTACTTTTCCTTGCATCATTTTTTGGTAAGAAGAATATATTTATAGCTTTAGAGACCAGAAACAAAAAATAATACATTATAACATACACGTCTTTTTTAGAAAGAACATACACAATTTTAAGTGGGGAACCATGTATATAGAATAATTTGTTTTCACTCAACTCTATTCATGTTTTCAAAGCCAAGTAGAATAATACCACCATGCCATGTATTAGGGGTTTATCCTGGCATTTTTATTTCCAGAGTCCATCTATTTGCCAAAAGACAAATGTATTCACCAGACAACAACATTTAAAAATATATTTTAAAATACAGTTCATTTCTATTTGGTAACCGGAAGCCTGTGGGAACTCCATGGCTGCTGCAGAAAGATTGCCAGCATAATCACCAAATCAAATGACCCACTGCTGGAAGAAAAAACTGATCACAATTTGAGATCACGAGTGTGAGCCAGGAATAGCAGTCCAAGCTCCTGGCCTCCTTTGGCTATTGCCTTAGCTTTCTCTCCTCTAACATCACCTACTTCTTGGATGATATATGCCTTACCCTGAAAACTCCTGACAACAAACAAGATTCTGCTGGGGAAGCTGGGGTGGTGTGGTGGCAAACTTTATCCAAACAAATGGACTAGACGTGTTTGCATGCTGTTGTAAATCAAGAGACTTCCATTCTGCCTCTCCATATTCTGTCCTAACAGTAGCTTCTTGCCCACAAAACAAGATAAACATCAGGACAATCAAGTGCTGAGGGACACCCGTTTCTTTTGAAACAACCCAGTTTCTCATGACCTACTCAGTCAAAGGTTTTGCTGTAGTGTAGCATATACAGTGGTGCCCCGCTTAACGAGCACTTCATTTAACGACGAATTCGCTTAGCGATGGCTTTTTCGGAGCGATCTTGCGCTGCGTTTAACGATGTTCCCTATGGGCAATTTTCGCATAGCGATGTTTGGGACCATGCTTCGCATAGCGATGACAGTTTCAGTCCCCCTGTTTCGCTTAACGATGGTTTTGACAGCCTCATGTTGGCTGTTTTTTATATGTTTAAAAATGTTTTAAAATGCTTAGAATGCTTGAAATCATAAGTGCACTTAATAAACCCTTTGTTAAACTAATTTGACTTTGTTCCGACTCTTTTTAAATTTGTTGTAATTCCCCCCCCCCATTGAGATGCATTGAATAGGTTTCAATGCATTTCAATATGTTTAAAAATGTTTTAAAATGCTTAGAATGCTTGAAATCATAAGTGCACTTAATAAACCCTTTGTTAAACTAATTTGACTTTGTTCCGACCCTTTTTAAATTTGTTGTAATTCCCCCCGCCCCCCATTGAGATGCATTGAATAGGTTTCAATGCATTTCAATTGGGGAACCGTGTTTCGCTTAGCGATGTTTCCTATGGCAATTTTCGCTTAAGGATGGCAATCCGTTCCCATTGGAATGGATTATCCGGTTTTCAATGCATTTCTATGGGAAACCGCGTTTCACTTAGCGATGTTTTCCCATAGCGATGATTTTTTTGGAACCAATTAAAATTGTTAAGTGAGGCACCACTGTAAAGCACAGACTGATCATCTTCTGAAATTCTTTGGTGAGCTCTAGTAGCTAGCAGATATTTGCAATATGATCTCAATTGTCTCTTCCTTTTCAGAATCCAGTGTGAACCTCAGACATTTCATGCTCTATATAAAGTAAAAGACTTGCAACACACTGGGTAACTTTAGTTTGCATGGAAAATTAACGCAATGGTCCTATAATTGCTGCATCTCCTTTTTGCGGGATTGTAAAGACTAAGGTTTGACCAAACTCCGGGAGGCAGTGTAAGACAGGAGGACTGGCGTGCTCTGGTCCCTGGGGTCATGAAGAGGCGGACATGACTTAATGACTAAACAACAACAACAAAGGATAAGGAAGGACAGATCCTGAAGCTGAGATAAGGTTTGACCAAACTCCGGGAGGCAATGGAAGACAGGAGGGCCTGGCGTG